TAGTGGCAGAGGTATAGAAAGCAGTGGAGGAAAGGGTTAACACACAAGGTCTGACACTGGGCCACCTTGCTATAGTAATTATTCAAGGATACTTGGCTGGCTTCTAGGTAATGGGCTTCTTTCCCAGGAACATGGCCAGATTCTTAAAAACTTAATATCTGTAGGCTACTTAAATTCATGACTATATTAGAATGGTGTAAAACTTAAATTAGATGATTGTCCTATTAAGTAATTCAATACAGATTAAACTGCTATCCCAAATGACTAAAACCTTTATGTATTCATAAAACAATGTGTGTGTGGGGTGTTGTTTGCTTTTACTTTTTTTTTTTTTTAAACAACTCTTATTTTCTGGAAATTTTATAAAGCTAGTGACTGTGTTTGCTACAAAGACAGATGGCCTAGCATAGCAAATCTGGTTATACAAGCTAAAAAGGAGATACTTATTTACTTATTATAATATCCCAAACTTAACTACGCTGGGGAGGACCGGGGATGACTTACAACATTTCAGGCTTAAGGAGCCTAGGAAAAGAGCAAGTAGTGACAGGGCAAGGGGGAATGGTTCCAAACTGAAAGAGGGGAGGTTTGGTTAGATGTTAGGGAATCCTTCTTTACTGTGAAGGTGGTGAGGTACTGGAATGGGTTGCTCAGAGAAGCTGTGGATGCTGCATCCCTGGCAGTGTTCAAAAACAGGTTGGATAGAGCTCTGAGTAACCTGGTGTAGTGTGTGGCATCCCTGCCCATGGCAGAGGGGTTGGAATTAAATTATCTTCAAGGTCTCCTCCAACCCAGGGCAAAGGAAGGGACTGTATTTCACACAGCAAAATGACTTGGCCCTTGGCATTGTTTTAAAGCTCTGATGTCTTTTTCAGGCAAGTTTAAATTAGTGAAACAACTCTTAAATCCTGCCACCTTACCCATAATTCTGTCACCATTACTACACTAGCACCACTCCACACACACCATCCTGCCTCCTGCCCAGACTAGGCAGCAGTCTGAAAGAGTTTGGACAAAAGTATTTGAGGTAAAGTGTAGGCAGATACACGTGGGCATGGAAGGACGTATTTCATGGCTGTACAAGCACATGTAGCTGTCTTCTGTGAGAAGAAAACTTGTATTCTCAAAGTGACGGATAGAGCTTTGCAAAACTAAAACTCTTGCCCTCCAAAAGTTGTAGTGCTATTGCTGGGATAAAGTTCAGTGAAACTGGGCCTGATATACAAAACATAAACAGTTGTCTGCTGGCTGTCAAACAGATTTTTAAAGGTATTGTATCATATCCTGTTTCTGTTAGTCTGTCAGACAAAATAGGGCTTTAATTTGCTGCATTGATTGATTGCCAGTTACTTGAGAGGACACACCAGGAGGAGCTGTTATCTCTGAAATCACAGGGCCTTCACTAGTTTGTAACTTGGAAAAGTCCTTTTCAAAACTGATTGTTTCCTTCTGTGATGCTGTAGGGAAAGGAGAGCTGTTGTGTTTTTGTTTGGCTTCTTTCAGTAAAGGCTTTTGCATTTCTTTCTCTGTGTTAAACCAGTGTAGGTACTGCAGCCAAGGCTGTCTGCTGAAGTTTCTTTGGTGCAGTACATCAGTTCTGTTAGTTTGTCTTAACAAAAGTAAGTGTACACAATAGCAGGTATGTCTCCGTTTCTGGGAAAAAAGTTGTCAGCTCAGTAGATAAGAGACCTTTTATTTAAGCTCTACAATGTTGTTTTCTTGTGAGCCTGAATTAAAACATCAGACAGGAACTCCTTTAAATAAATAAATCTTCCAGAAAAAAAAAAAAAAAAAAAAAAAAAAAAAAAAAAAAAAAAAAAAAAAAAAAAAAAAAAAAAAAAAAAAAAAAAAAAAAAAAAAAAAAAAAAAAAAAAAAAAAAAAAAAAAAAAAAAAAAAAAAAAGACCAAGATTATTGCTTCTATCCAATGCTTTCCATTAGAAGAGGAATAGGGAAAACAGTAGCTAAGGTTCTATAGCTTGCCAAATGGAAGGTAACCTCTTCAAATGTCAGTTTTATATGCAGCAAAGTAGAACTTAAAATGGGTGAAAATGTTGCTGTTGGTGGCTGAGTTCTGTTCTTTGATACCTCTTTTCAGTGTTGGAAACTGGTGTTTATAAATTTCAACCGCACTGGCCAGTGATCACTGCATTCCAGTGATCCTTTGGGGTGAATGTTTATGAAGTGCATGTTGATCTTCACAGGCAGGAGGAGAATCTCCAGGCAAAGTTGCAGCATCATCATAATCTGTGGTTTGTAAGCATAGAAATGGAAAGCCCACCTCTTCCACTGCTGGAGGAAAGTAGATGACTCTGCTCTTCACTGC